AATTAGTACGAGAAATGATTAAAGAGGCAGAGAGAAGACAAATAATGCCTATAGCTACTAAACCTCGTCCTTCATTTTTATCTTCTTAAACCTTAAACTATAATACTACGTAAAATGGATTGCTTTCTTGTAATTGTCATTGTTGTACTTCATTCTTTTAGTTCGTTTTAATTCGTTTCATTTGTTTTTGTTGGAATCGTTTCAATTCTTTTGTATGTATTACTAATTCACCACATCACACTCATTTTCTACTACACTTTTACTTCTACACAAACACTTTCGATCGTTTCCTTTCTTTGGGGCTCCATCACGTGTATCAACAAATCTCCATTGCATCCTGGAGCCACCGAGACAAAGTGTTGAGGCTCAAATGATGGCAAATGTTAATTGACTCCCGAGCCAATTTATAACTTCACTGTAGTGCCTCGTCCATTTCAGTGATAATCTTTCTCCCAATCTCTTCAAAAAGGCATTTGCTTCTCTTCCTACCGTACCAGCCACTGACACACATATTGGGGTGAATAATGCTTGTTTTGCTTCACATGCTGTCAAATACTTCACTTTCTTCTCCTCTTCAGCTTTGGCCAGTACATCAGATAGAGACCGGTTCAAATATAACTGGGTGTCAGTGTTTACAACACAAATATCGAGCAATGCCTCAGACTGTGGAGACCAGACTCCCCTAATGGCTAGGTCAGCCACAAGAGCAGGAGATTTATTTTGGATATTTGATTCTTGTACTATTGGTTCTCGACAAACCTGTCCCCATTATTATTATTATTACTACTATTATCACAGCTAACAAGTTGGTACAAAACTGTGATACACAATTACATATTTAAATGTCCCCTCAGAATTTGTGCAGATCCCAATAACACAGTCTTCTGTGTATGCTCTACTTTGATGTTAATCTCCAACCTCTTTAACCAGTCACTGATCCTATGTGATATTGCCCCCAGTGCTCCAACTACAATCAGTATTACTTCCACTTTCTTCATTCCCCATAGCTTCACAATTTCCTGTCTCAATTCCTGACATTTCTCAACTTTTTCATCTTCCTGTACTTCGACTTAGGTGTCACCTGGAACTGCCACATCTATAATCATACACCTCTTCTCCCTTTTCATAGCAACTACAATATCTGGCTTGCGATGTTCAACCATTCTGTGACACTGAATCATGAAGTCCCATAATGTCTTTACTTCAACTGTTTCAGTTACCCCCTCAGGCTTGTGATTATACCAATTCCTCCCTCTTTCCATATCAAATTTCCCACATAGCTCCCAATGGATGAACTGAGCAATCTTGTCATGTCTCCTTTTGTATTCTCTTTGAGCTAGCACTTTACATTCACTTACAATGTGGTATACACTCTCACCTTCTCTCTATATAAATGACACAATGATGACTCACTGGAGCCATCAATCTTACATTTAATATAGTTAGTTCTCAATTCCTGTTCTTGTCCGCACAAATAAGAGCCTCTGTCTGTCTCTGGTTTTATATCACTCTTTTGTAACCACGTCCATGTCTTGTGTATATCTGCTCCTTCCCTCATCTCCCTGTAATGCTGTCCATACATTCTTTTTCCTATCCATCTTTCTTCAGTTGCTACCATCTCAAGTTGTTTATAACTTTCCTTTGGCCTACTACCCTCTACATCTAAGATTTTACTTCTTCCAACTGCTTTCAATAACGGTTCCACTAATTTTTTAACATACCAACCAAGACTATACTTTCTTCAGCTTTTATACTTCTCTCATATCCTAATAATCCCCTTCCTCTCTTTCTTGATAATTATAGCTGATTAGTTATTATTATTTTTTTTATTAAGTACTTTTGCTGTTGTATTAATGTTACTATTTAGTAAGCTAATGAATTGAACCAAAATATAAACTAGTACTTTAAAGTTATTGACATTAATTTTTTACATTTTAAAATGATACTCTGTACTATGCTGTTATTAAAATTAATTCTTAAAAATAAGGTTATGTTTACACAACTCCACCATCATTTTTGTTATTCCTGTTTCAGGTGTTTACACCAATCCAGCAGCTGTATTGTCACTAGAATTTATCATTTGTGTATAGAATTATTCTTTTAGTAGTTGTTTTTATTTTGTTTGGATTTGATATCAGTGTAAACCCAACCAAAAATATTTTAGTTTTTGTTTAAAATGTAGTCATGTAAATGTGGCCTAAATTAAAAATACATTTAAGAAATTGTAGGAAGCTCTATGTCCACGGATAATGAACTAAAGGCTCCATTGTAAGTTATTTAAGAATTACTGACCCTTTTATATAATATTAATGTAATACTGAGTTGATATCATGTTAATTTCAGTCTAGGCTGCTGAAGTTCAGGCTGAAGGCTCTGGACTTATGAATAATTGTAAGTGATATAGTATTATAACTAGGACACAATAATTTAATAATTTTACTGTTGTTCAAAAATTGCATGGATCAAACTCCCTGTACTATAGTACAGGGTCACTGGCCAAATTTTACCAAAATTTGAAAACGAAAGAATATGCCATTTTAATAATAATGTACATAAATGTCTACACAGCATAGGTGCATCAATATGTATTAGGAAGTATAATATAAATTGTGGGTAATTTTTGAGCCATTTTTAGAATAACCGTGAACTGTATAGCCTTAGGTATTTTCAGAAGCTGGCCAATTTTTAAAATTGGCCATAATTCAAGCAATATTTTTCCGAATCAACCAAACTTTTTACACAGCATATAAAAGTCCATCAATATCAGAAAATGCAATAAAAATTTGGAGTGATTTCTGAGCCATTTAAAGAAACCATCGGCTATTATAGCCTTGGGTATTTTTTAGAAATTGGCCAATTTTTTAAAATGGCCGTAACTCAAAAAATATTTGTCGGAATCAGCTCAAGCATTCTACAAAACTTAAGGACATCAATACATGTATGTACTGAGAGAAAAGAGGGTGAAGAATTAGAATATATGCTGATATTATTATTATTATTATTATTATTACTACCATTATTACTATCATCATTATTATTATTATTTAACAAACAGGGCAAAACAAGTTAAAAATAAGTTAAAAGAAATAAAGAAGAAAAATTAGATTATATAATATATGTAGTTAAGGTAGAATAGTTTGAGAAATAGTTTAAATAATATCATTATTATTAAGAGAAAAACCAAACAAAAAAGGACATTATTATTATCATTATTATTATAACAGACATAAGTGACATGCTGCAAAAACAGAAAACAAAAACAAAAAAGGAAAATATTATTACAAACAAAAAATACACAAAAATGAAACAAACAAACACAAATAAGTTAGACAACCCCATCTACAAGAGGGGGAACGGACGGCAGATGAGATGTCCACATTGAAGCATTACCACGCCACAAGGACACAGCAAGCCTCTGAAACAGGTGCCCTATGATTATTATTATTATTATTATTATTATGTGTACATTATTATTATTATTATTATTATTATTATTATCAATATTATTATTATTATTATTCTTTAGTCTGGCCCATACTACCATTAACTATCTACTTTCTTATTATTATTATTATTATTGTTATTATTATTTTTTTGCTATTATTATTGTTATTATTATTTTTTTGCTATTATTATTGTTATTATTATAAAAACCAACCAAAGAAGAAAAAAAACAAAACAAAAAAAAACCACAAGGATGAGAGAGACAGATATAACACACCATACAGTTATATCACACCATCAACACCAGGAGGAAGGGGAAGCTGCCGAGTCACCCACATAGCAGCACTACCCCTCCATTATTATTATTATTATTATTATTATTGTTATTATTATTAAAATGGTGACAGAAAGATACAAGAAGCAAACAATAAACAAACAAACAAAAAAAACACCAACAATAGCAACAACAACAACAAAAGGAAACAACTGAAACAAAGAATCCCTTAAAGGGAACCGTCAATGTGGGATGCGAGAGAGGACTGCCGAGCAACCCACATAGCAGCATTACCTCTCCATAAAGAGACTGAGAGGCGCTGGAAGAGATGGGAGCAGGTAACAGAAGGGTTGCGACCAATACGCTGGCCTAATTATTATTATTATTATTATTAATATATTATTATTATTGTTATTATTATTATTATTTTATAGTGATCTAATTCATAATCATGGTGTGTGCATACGAGTGTTAGGTGATATTAAGTTATTACCAACTGATGTACAAGAATCAGTAGCAAGAGCTGTGACAATGACTAAAAACAATAACAAGTAAGTACATGTACATGTACTTATTAAAATTACATAAAGTATACTTACTTGTACTGGAAAGTGTGTTAGTATATCAGCATAGTTGGCAAACAACTTGTTACCACAGACAGACAAACTACTGTCCAAGCTCCTCACTACATGTACAGTAAATTTGTAAATACATGTACAGTGGACATGTACTCATTATTGTGTGTAGACCACATAATTGGAATACTTTTTGTAATGTGTGCATGAGGTTGATTGTAGTTGTGCTACACGTAGTTATTTCATTCATCAGGTAACTATAAGGCTCCCAGGTTAAAGAAGAAAGGGATCCGGACCTACCAACACTGACCGAAGTAGAATTAATGGAGTTTGATGACTTTGATACACAAGAAAACTAAGACACATGCAACATCACTTTATAACAAATAAAAATTAAAAATTGACTTTCATATGAAACTGCATTTTGTGGGGCTGATATTGACAGACTATAAATATAGATGTGAATGTGATATCTAGTGTCAAAAAATTTGATATAAAAAGCTCCTTTTTTAGC